CCAGCTTGTACACTCCTGCATCTTGTAGAGGGATATGACACTTGACGGATGGTAAAAATTGACCAATCTTCTTCAGTGGCTTGAAATATGTTTTAATGGAAGCTCGCTTCAAGATGTAGCCAACCCTATCTGTGACTCCTCTGACATAGGGTAGTACAGCAGGCACACGCTCGACTGTGGCTGGCTTCACTCGGTCACTGTGACGTAGGCGCGGGACCCGAAGCTTGTTGTCTTGCAGTACTTGCTCGACGTGCTGAAGCTCGGCGGCCAGATGTTTTCTGTCACAGATCCCTCGTGCTCTCTGAAACAAAGATTTTCCCACGGTAGCTAACTGTGAAGGATGATGGTGAGATTCACCATTTAAATATCGGTTGGTATGGGTATTTTTTCTGTACACAGTATGAACAATAGTGCCTCAATCACGTGTCAAATAGTTACATTATGTTACACGCGTGGAGCAGGGCATAGGCGTGCCTTAAGTTCGATTAAATTTTTCTTTAGAGTCTATCGAACACTTAAGAATATACGGACGACAGCTACTGAAGGCGGTAAAACTCTCATTGCATTTTATACGTAATAATAAGCAAAAATATATGCCTAGGTTTAGGTGCTTTTATACGTGGTAGACTGATAGCGCTATACTGCAGCTATATACATACATAAACATACATAAACACTCACGCCTGTCACCCAGGGGGGTAGGCAGAGATTATGGACTTCCATTTGGCACGATCCTGACACACCTCTCTCGCTTCCTCCACATCCATATACCTACGCATACACGCTCGTCGGTTAAAGGTACTCTTGATTTGGCCTATTTTAATATATCGCCAATTTGGTCGATAAACTTTCGCCTAGGGCGACCCTTCCCGACTATGCCGTTCACCTCTGCAACATAAATTTGCTTTGTCATTCTTTCCTCATTCATTCTTTCTACATGGTCAAACCACCGAAGCATTCCTTTCTTAATCCTGGTCACAACATCATCTTGCAAACCACACTCTTCTCTTATTAAACAATTTCTCACTCTGTCATTCAGCTTCATCCCTAACATACTCCTTAATGACCGCATTTCTATAGCATTTATTCTACTCTCATGCTTCTTCTGCCACACCCAACTTTCACTACCATACATTAAAGTAGGTACTAACACAGCATTGTGAATTGCCATACGTGCCTTTTTGGACACATTCTGACTTTTCATTTGCAGCTATATATAATAGTATATTTCTATTATATTATAGGGTCGGCTCGAATGGGGAAGAACCACGCTCTCACTGAATATCAATGTAAAATAGCAGCTTAACGCTGTGTGTCGTATGGTGAGTGTAGAGAACCAGAGACCCTTTTTACTGGAAACGAGGCATTCCGTCATTCATCTTAGTCCTTACGGGTGATAACGCATCTGCATTTTGATTTGTAATCGAGGGTAGGTGTAGATGTTTATGGGCCACAGCAACCGCTTACCATCAGGTGGACTGGGTGCTCGTTTGTCAACCTTATCGTAAAAAAAGGTTTACCAATGGGGTACCAAGTTGACACCAGCCAATCACCAGCGTTAATAATTATTTATGAAATATAATATGCACAAAAGAAGTATTTGTGTACGTTAAAAGATAATTAAAATCTATAAGTCGAGGGATATAACGAGGAAGGTAATCATAGAGGGAGGAGAATAGTCCTTCCAACTTCTATAAATGTTTGTGTTTGGACAACTTAAAAATTGTTTCAATTGAATAGTGTCGAAAATTCAATTTACATTGCACACGGAGTGCTGTCCCATAAACCTCTAAAAATTAGGGTCCAAAAGTGGGAGGTGTGAGTTCTTACTTTACATGTTTATTGAAGGCATTTTCCTGACAGCATATTTTTGTATGTCATCTGCACCGATCGCCCATAGGCACGCCAGTCAGCCCTAAGCCTCCTATATGAAATAACGTTTAATAACTTTTTAGCGTGAGGACCATTGTGAAAGTAAATAGACCTTGTTGTTTGACTAGACTCTAAGTTTCTTTCCTCTCCAAATTAATAACCCTCGCCACCATAACCCAGTGCAACAGGTCACGGAATAGTGAACGGTCAGACCGAATTCCTTTCATACGCAGAGCTTTACTATATAATATATTAATTATAAATATTTTAAATATGATATCACATTTATAATAATGAGATATGGTGAATTTTATTTATGGTCAGAAACACTTCGTTATAAAACGTCTTTCCGCTTCCGTTGTTTCGCACTGTATATTTTATTTTGCACGCAAATAAACGCATATTTTATGAAGTGTCTATCGTTATGGTTATTTAACTGCATGATACATGCAAGTATTATCTAATGGACTCGTTAATGCAATAATGGAGTTGGATAGCAAGTGTTCCATATCAATTAAAAGTTATTGGGGTATACGCGAGCGAGCATACATCGTCCCGTGGATATCGTAAGAGGCGATGGAGGGAAAATGAAACAGGAGATGGGCAGCAGCATCCTCCTGATATCAACTATATAATAATAAAAATCGACCAAGTGCGTGCAAGGCCACGTACAATGTAAGGTTCCGTCACAATACATGAACTTAGAACGGGCCTTCTTGATAATATGAGCAAATTAAGTTCGTGGTTTTACCGCTATAGACTAAAATGACTAATAGGACTAATATGGCGATGGTATTAAAAACATTTTCGCCTTTGCAAATTATACAATCCACATCAAATCATTCACATGCCAAGTCCTTACAAAAATGGTTATAGTCCCTATCCATCTATTAGTTCTCTGCGGTGCAACTCTAAGATATTATACGAGACAATAACGAACCTTCCCTTAAACCATCACTGCCCTAAACTTTCCTGAGGGTAGCCCGCGTAAACCAAGAGTACAACAAATGTAACTATAAGCCTAAAATGTCCGGTTACCGCTTGAGTGTGAGGAGAGACATCGCCCTTAATATGTGTGGAAGTTATTACGTGGATGGATACATCACCCAGATGTGCTCGTTGCGCTAAAGCTGCGTGTACCTAATAATTACGTGTGTTCTCGTCGCCGTCCCCCGTTACTCCTCGTATCCGCTGCTAGGACGAAGTTATGTAATAAATACTAATAGTGGGTAAACTCCTTTGTTATACTGCAAAATAGCTATAAGGCTGTTTCGACGTCAATTCGCTAAAAATATGCAAGGGTTGTCACAAAAACATTTCCTTAAATAATATAATTTATTTTTCTATACAAACCAATTACTACTTTCAAAACTAGTAGCGTTCCGCAGCTTTAGCTGATTCGTCGTGATGAAAACAAAGGCTTGTGCTGGTAGGTACCTACCTAATTTTACTATATTTTAGATGTGATTTAGATATTCCACTTAAACTATTTGACAGGGGTTGAACAGAATAAATAAAACAGGTTAAAATTATACGTTTGTTCTGTTTATTCAACCGCCGGAGTTTGCATTGCACTCTTTACTACGACCTTGAGGCTCCGATTTGCAATAAAACTGATGATCCAATTGCACCATTTCTCAGGAAGCCCATATAAATGAAGCTTTGAAAGAAGCGGTTTGTGTCAAAGGCCATCGAATACCTTCGCAATGTCCAAAGTAATGAACAAGGGTTCCCTCTTGGATTCTACTGCTTCCGCACAGGAAAATTAGAAGACTAGAACTACTACCTACTTTTTAGACGAGTTAACTAATCAGCTGGTGGTCCTCATCAAGGTAAGTTATGAGCTGGCACTTTATAATGGATTCTATTGTTTTGAAGAACAAGCAGGCGATGGTGATAAGCCTGTATTTGGACGGGTCTGAGCGGTCGCCATTTTAGGGATCAGGTGCACTAAAGCTGTCTTCCATAAGTTCAGGTTTACGCCTAGAGAGTAAAAGTACCGGAAAAGACGCGTTAAAATCGGGGCAAACCCGTCTTCAGCACAATTGGAGAGACTTCGGCATCCCCACTCGACTTGTTGACGTACAGGGAGAGAAGTGCTTTGCACACTGAGTGCTGTGTAAACCATGCATCCAGCATGGAGCAATGACACTCAGGGATAATCGGCGGTGTGTACCACCTGTCACCGAGAGTCGAGTTTGACTCAAAAAGAGAACCATGTAGCATGGGCCATAGTTCTCCCTGTGCAGAGATGGAAGAGATGACTCTGAAGTTTCCTTGGATGGCTTTGGTAAAACACCTTAATAAAATTAGAGGTAGAGAGCTAGAGCAGTTTAAAGCAATTTAAAATCTTTAAATCACGTCGAATCAGCTAACGAAAGTCGAAAGGTACCTAATAATTTAGTCTTATTTTTACAATCTATTTGTTTTGTAACAAAAATAAAGAAAGAGCAACAAGTATAATGCTTGCGGCACTTACTCTATTATTTATTTAGAATATTATAGCAAATTTTATTCTGTACAAAGTGGTGCTTGCAAAGACAAGCTCAGTGCCCGCTATAACCTTACACCCTAGGCTCGAGCCTAATTAGCCTGTGGGTAAATCAGGCCCTGGGACTGTCGTCTATACCCTATATAAATATGGTGAAGTAGGGAATACAAGGTGGCGAGGTAAAATGTCCTCTCTTCAGTGATCACAACGTCTTCACTCGAATCTCATCACTCATTTACCATTATTTATAGCCTATCAAAAGTCTAAAGCTGAGCATAGCTCTTTTGCCATAGATGTCATGCTTGTTAGCCAGATTGACAAGTGACTACTGCAAATTTTATCAGGATTGTTCATTCATTCATTCATTTCAGCCTATCAGAGTCCACAGTTGAACATGTTCCACAGTTGAAGTGTATTGAGAAAATATTTCTCTTTATGAGGCAATGTATAGGCGAGGCCTATATTCAGCAGTGAACTTTTGCTTGTTTGCAATGAATGAAAAAAAAGTGAATGAGTGTATTTTAATCATCTATTTCATTAAATTTCTGTTTCTGTTTTTCTTTATCTCTCTCTGTTCTTCTGATTAAGGTGGTGGTGGAGGAATACTGAAAAAATAGGTATGACAGTTATAAAAATTTTATTGTATTTCTTTCAATATTTTAAGCCTATACTTATCATCAGAGAACCTCATTTTGATAATTTGCCGGATCTCTTCACATACATAACTCTGTTTTAGTAGTTTATCCGAACGCCATAAATCTGTGATTTCAAGTAGCTGAGTTTTTAAAAGCTGCGACATTTTGGTAAATTTAACCCAAATATTTATTTTCGTTTCTAATTTGACTTCCTCTTCAAACAAAGTTGCAATATCAGCAATAGTGTCTTCAAACCGTATAGCCAACATGTAAACTAAATCCTCACTTATTGGCTTGCTGTCTCCAAATATTCGATCCAACATGGCTTGGCACAAAGCTTGGATCAATGTACACATAGAATGTTCATACATGCGTGTAGGTAGGATATTGAACCAGCTAGTCTTCAGATCCTTCATGAGGATTATGGAGCTATTTACGGCAGAGTCAAATGTTTGATAAGAATCATAAGTCCATGGCAGTTCTGTAAATTGCATTTGATTGAATAATTTAAAAAATACATAAAGTGATGTTTTATATAATACTAGCTGTTCCCTGCGATTTCGCCCGCGCGTAATTTATTACGTTTGGATTTCATGGGTTTTAATTTTTTGCGTGGAACCCTAATTCTTTTTCTAAAATAAAAGTAGCCTAAGTTACTTCTTATAACATCAGTTATCTGCCAGTGAAAATCTGGTCAACGTCAGTCCAGCCGTTTTTGAGATTAGCTGGAACAAACAGACAGACAAACAGAAGCTTAGATAGGCATAATAACAAAAAATACATTGTATTTTTTGTTATTATGCCTATGTAAGCTGCTGATGCATTGTATCGCTGATGCAAAATACAATGTATTTTTTGTTATAGAATAAGGGTGACAAACAAGCACACAGTCCACCTGATGGTAAGTGGTTGCTGTGGCCCATAGACACCTACATCTATCCTTATTTGTGAATAAAAAATGCAGATACATTGTCAGCTGTGAGGACTAGATGGAATGTCTCGTTTCCAGTAAAAGGGCATTAAGCTGCTATTTTACGCTGGTATTTTACGCTGGTATTGTGAGAGCGTGGTCCTTCCCTGATTGAGCCGACCTAATAGAGTCCTCAGAGGTAACAAGTGTAGCCTTCTTTATTTGAAGTTGGTTGTAATGTCTATAGAATGTAGTAGCCACATACAATCAGGTGGACTTTAAGTTTGTTTGTCATTTCAGTTTTTATAAAATAAAATTATTAAAAAAAACTATTAAGTTATGAATCCTGGGCTTAAAATTTGTTAGGAAAAAACAACGAAACAAATAAATAATAATATACAGCCGACTCTCGTTAATTCGAAACTCGAGGGACTCTTAAAATATTATGAATTATCAAGCATTTGAAATATCAAATGGTTCGAAATTATTGAGAGAAAATAAATAAAACTTCAAATTATTAAGTGTTGATCAATTATTATTTATTCACTGCTATTCTTTAACAATGACAATAGTTTAGAGGTATGTTTGTGTACATATTCATAATGTGAATTAATTAATCTTTCGATAGAACTCTGTTATACTGTAACTGTACTATAACTTCTTTTATGATAAAAAGTGCCTTTCTCTCTGCAACTTTGAATTGTAGTGTTTGATGTTTGAATGATATTTTCGTTCAAATTACCAAGTGCATAAAAATGTATTGATTTAGTTTGAAATATAAAGAGATTTTGTAGGGAACTTGTGATAACTTTGAATTATAGAGGTTCGAATTATTGCAGGTTTGAATTAACGAGAGTCGACTGTAATAGAAATTAATAAATAAAAGCTTAAGTATAGATGTTAATAGGAATGTTTTCATAGTCTCATTTTCAAATCTCAGTTGTTTTAAAATTTCATTTTTATAAATACAAAAGATTCTTACCAGTATTTTCAATATTCTTAGTGATACTATTCTTCTGACTCTGTAAATATAGTGACACTTTCTCCAAGCCCACAACTCTTAGGTCCTGAATACATTCCAGAAGTATTGTTGTAAGTAAATCAGCTAGAGAAAATGGCAGAATATTTTTCCATGGTGGTCCAAGCAGACTATGTGCCAGATAATAACAGTTGTTGAAGAATAATGCTAAAAGAATTATAATATATACTATATATATAGAATTTTATAGAATTAAATGATTGTGAACGATCTTTCATAAGGAAATCCTTTTTGTTTCTCTTAATTACTATTAAGGACAATAAAAATTATAATATGCCATAATTTAAAGAAATAAATCCAGTCATCATATCATTCGATGCACATAATATGAGTTTCTTATAGTAATGACATTAAAACACATCGATCACTAATAAAAAACTAGATACACAATCAGTGACAAAAAATGGCGTAACCGAATGTGCACCCACTCGAACATATGGGTGCACATTTAATCTAGTAGCATTCGAATGTTCCGACGGTAAACATGCCTCAGCGCTCTTTTAAAAAGTGTAAAAAGCACACATCCAGGACGCTAAAAAAGGATGGAATTTCATATTTTCGGTAAATATTAATATTAACATTATTTAATTGTTATAACTGTATTGTAAATACTGATATTTTGTCAAGAAATCATCGAAAAAGTATTTTTTAAATTAAGTCGTAATAAAATAAGTCGTCCTTGTTCGAGGTATATGCGTTGATTCTGTTCCATTTGTGGAAACGCTATTGTTTTTTTTTTTTATTTATTTTTTTGTTAATAAAGTATGATTGTATTTTTTTTTTGTTTAATGAGAGTTCTTTACTGAATATAAAATAAGTTAATATACGCGTTAAAATCCGTAAAACTAGTTTCATTTAAATGTGAAGTGAACGCGTAAATATAAGAAATCATTATAATTATTCAGTCTTATCCGTTTTTTTAAACATCTGTAAATATGAACATTACGTCAAAATTTGGACAATAATGTTCTTAGATTTTGCAAGAATTTTCTGTACTTATTTTTTATATTTAGTAACTATTATATTTAGATTTAACTTGTTTGTCAAGCAATATCTTTAAATTTTTCACACAAGATAAAGAATAAATAAATAATTATGACTGTTTCAATTATTTTCATTACTAAATGAATGTGGTGCCCTATACAAAAGCATGTTTACATTCAGTTAATAATATAACCATTACACATATACACCATAGAATAGAATAGAATATGCTTTATTAAGTAGACCAATTATTTAAAACAAGTTTAAAAAAATTGTAAAATTATAATTACAGTAACAAAAAATATTGTGCAGTTCGACTCCTCTCTCCTAGTCCAAGCGAAGAGCCTCGGTCGTAAAATTTTATTGCTTTTTGTACGTTGCTTTGTGAATACAACTTTAAGCATATCACTTAAGATTGAATTTACATTAATGTATATTTATATCAACTAGAATTACGTCAAAACATTTGGCGACAGTTTTTAGAGAACATTTGTATGGGACTGTGCATCTAGTTTTTTATTAGTGATCGATGTTAAAACATAGTAGTATTTAAGTGATAGAAGAATAAAATTAAAATATTCAGATATAAGACAGGGCACAAAATTTATATTGTGAGGGATCTGGATATAAGGAAAACATTCTATATTTCAGTTAAGATAAGAGCAACATTAATTATTATAGGTTTATTTTATTTAACTTCAAAGCCAGACCTTTTTATGTGGTAGAGCCACACTGCAGCTGTTATGGTTGTAGCATGAATGGGTCGGCTCGACCTGGGAGGACCATGCTCTCACAAAATACCAATGTAAAATAGCAGCTTGATGCTGCTGTGTTTCATATGGTGAGTGTAGAGCATCGGAGACTCTTTTTTACTGGAAACGGGGCATATCTTAGTCCTCAGGGGTGACAATGGCCACAGCATTCACTTTCGTTTGTCACCCTTATTCCATAAAAAAAACTCAATAACCAGAAATCTGTTAACAATAACATTTAATATCTACTTACCAATATCTAAAGGACAAAACTCCAAATTAACCTTAAATTTCTTAGGTATTATGCATTGATACATTACAGCTATATCTCTAATATACATTATAAGCTGTCTGCTATACTCTTCTGGCAATTTTGTACTCTCTTCCAAATGTTCAACAATCATAGTTATAATTCTCTTTACATTTTGAGATATTACACATTTTGGAAGAAATATTGGGTTGTTTAGATCCCATAGATCATTCTTATTATTGGGAATATTAGTAGAATCCAGTGTGGAATCATTTGGTGGCTCTGGCATGGATCCAACTATAATTGTACCATATGACAAGCTTTCCCCAAGTATACCTTTAACATCAGCAAGTAGTTTGTCACATTTCTTGCTGTACAAAACATATTCTGTGTCATTTATGTATTTGTTAAGAGGTGATTCACTTGCTTCAACAAATTTAAGGTCCACCAGAAACTTATTAAAGGATTCTAACTCAATAACTATGTTTTTGTAATTCTGATAGCTGCTGTCACATGATGGTAAGTTGCTTCTAATGCAGTCCTCAATTATTTTATTGAAAAACTTTTGTTTAATGGAATCAGCAAATACCTGTATAAAATTTTTATTATTTTCAAACTGCAGACCCAATGTTGATTGCAGAAATTCAAAAACTGCAGTTAAATTATTGAATATTGTTTGAAAGTTTGGTTTTTTTGGATCATTTAAATCTATTTTAATATTGAACACCAAAGCTCCCAAATGTTCTTCAGTAAATATATCACAATTATGTCTTATTACATTATGAAGTAATTTATTGATGAAAAATAGTGAAAACAGCCCAAGTTCAGCATTGAGTCTTTCTGTAGCATACAAAGATTTTAAAACATTTTGTATAAGAGTTGGATCACTTTGTTGGACAGATAATGAATATGTAAGATAATAAATGCTTTTCTTTTCTGCCCAAGAAAAGATATCCTCCCATTCTACACTAAGTTGTGCAGCATATAAGGCTAATTGGTTTTCTGCTTGATCACTTAAGATTGTTAATGCCTTTCCAGCATTACCTTCAAATTTAAGGCCCATAAGTTGATTATGCAATTCTTTAACACTTAACATAGCCTCAATATAATTATATCGACCAAATTCATGATTAGCTTTTTCTAATATTTGTTTACCTTCTACAACAATGCATAAATTATTGAAAACTTTCATTGCATTTTCTAACTTACTACAAGAATTACAAAACTCTTCGTTAATTGTAGAAGATTTTTCATTCACTATTTTTATGTCTTCTAGTAGTTTATTGTAATCCAAAAGAATATTACTTTTGCGATTTTGATAATTAATTTGTTCTAAGCTTTTCGTAGGTGTAAAATTACAATATGTATCAATAAAATTTTGTTGCAAAGCCCATGATAACAACTGTATACGTTCTATCAGATCTTTCAGCATCGGAAATATTTCTTCACGTTGCTTTTTCACATTTTCTTGGATATTTTGATCCGCTTCGTGTAAAGCAGTACTTAACAAACTCATATTTTTTGCTTCTGCTTGAACATTGAGTAGGTTTTTACTTTTTATTTATTTTTGCCAGTTGAGTAGGTACTTTTAAACTTACAACTCCTTGGTTAAAAAAGTCACTGTGCTTACACTTACAACAAAGTTACTACATACCAGTATCCGTTTTGAATTTTAAATTTAAAAATAAAATGATAGTAAATGACTGATTTTTTTTGGAGTTTATGGCCTGGTATCTAGACCTTTAGGCCAAGTCTTAAGTATTTTTATTCGGTTTATTGTAATTTCCCCACTCCTTCATAGTATACTGCTTCACAATATGTTGATGCGTCACATTGTGCAGTTCTTGGGAGATTTTGGCGGCAACTTGATCCAGCAGACAGCTGATAGTTGGCGATGGTATCTAAAGGTGCCTATGCAAACAAACATCTTATCTTGAGAATCCATCACCATCAGAGCACTTGTTTCACTGTTTCCACTAATAGTTCACATGCGTAGACACTTAATACACAAAATCGCAACACTTTTACATATCAAAGTCCACTTCAAACCATTATTTAAACAATAATACAGGAGCAGCAAACCGCCGCCGGTCAATTTCCCGCCAAAACTCCAGTAAATGACTGACATCCTGACCAAAGTTGCCAACTTTACGTATAAAAAATATTATCGATGTAATTTTTATTATTATTGTAATTTGAATGTGTCTGTAACTACAGCAAATATAGGCATTCAAAGGGGAAAAAAGCTTCAACTTATTGGAATTAATCACTGTCGTTGTCATCAAAACTGCAGGATATAGATCTGGCATGACGTCTATGTTCGTATGAGAAGACAATGGTTGTGGTTCTTCTGAATAAGATTTCTTCTTAAAACTATAAACGAAATTAGTCCTTATCGATTCGACTACTTCTGTAGGTAACTCGAACGTTACACAATTTGTTTCGACTTTTTAATTGATTTTTTTTTTTTTATAGGAGAGGGGGCAAACGAGCATGCGGCTCACCTGATGGTAAGTGACTACCGCCGCCCATGAACAACCGCAACACCAGGAGAATTGCAGATGCGTTGCCGGCCTTTTAAAAAGGAGTAGGCTCTTTTCTTGAAGGTCCCTAAGTCGTATCGGTCCGGAAAAATCGCTGGTGGTAAACTATTCCACAAGGAAGTTGTGCGAGGAAGAAAACATCTTCTAAATCGCACAGTGGTGGACCGCCAATCATCCAGATGGTGTGGATGGTATCGGGAGTTGATCACTTACAAGAATTATAGCATTGATTGTTTTAAGTAGTAATCTATGCGTTTTGTTTTGGTCATATTTATGGTGCTGAAACACGCTCTAATTTTGCATTAGAATGTGGAAGACATAACATAACAGTAATAGTAAATGTGCAATGCTCTCAAAGTCCTTTGTTGTATTTCGGTATTTTAAGTCTTCGCATAAAAGAAGTGATGGTACTGCATTTCAAAAAATACTTACCTAAGATATCATAATACAAATGTTGCTAGTTGTGGGGAAAAAAAATCACAATTTTCTTTTAAAAATATTTATTTTCTATTTGTGTTTAAAACGTTTAATCGCAACGCTCTGTGTAAAACTCAAATGTTTATATATAGATACCTACTTCTCTAAGTATTAACATAATATTAACAATGGGTGCCTATTTAAAACTAATACGGAGTGATCAGCTAATCGCGATTCGCCGACGCCATTTTAACGCAACTATGTTATTTTAATTGCGTTGTTTATTGACTAAGTCTACGTTTTAGAGTATAAGGCTCATTCCGCCGTTTCGTGCAAATTTGAACGTTCCGTGGATGAAAAAAAAAAGTCGTATTTTCACGTTTTATTTGTATATTAACAAGTTAGGTTGGTCACTAGATTCATAAAAAGTGTGAGGCACTTTTTTATGTCATTTAATTACTGAGAAAATAATCCTTGAAATTTAACGAATGGATGGTAATGAAAGGGAGAAGGATTGTAATGAAATCAGGGGGATGGTAAGTAAAAAGGCTGGAATGGTAAAGAAATACGTAAATTTAGTAGAAAAAAAATTCATGACTAAGTATTAGTGATTTATTTATATTTAGGTAGGTAAACAATAATTTTAATTAGATGCGTATTCAAATGAAGTAATTTGTTCTATTTTTGAGAATAAAATCAGTTATAATCAGTCATACTCATATGCAAAATAAAAAAAAAAACTATTAAGATTATAATATCACAAGTCTCATTAATCTTTGGAAGTAAAATCACAATATGTAAAAGAAATCAACAAGTAACTACATAATACAACTCAAAAAATATTAAATTCGTCACTGTCATCTGAATCAAAAAAATTATTGGCATTGTTTTCTTTTTCTGATTTATTTGACTGAATAAATGCTTCGAATTGAAGCTGGTGCTCATTATTATTTAAATAGAGTTTTTTTGGAATTAAATTTTTCTTTGGCGTCTCGTAAAATTTACGATTTTCCCAACTCAAACGGATATCGGATAAAATCTTGACTTTTGGAGATCTTGTCTTTGTTGTAGTAGCATTCGTTATGGGTGAGAGCTGTAAGTCGATTGGGCCTGAGAGAGGTTCCAAGTCATCAAAAGTAACAGATTCGTGTATATTATTTAAAATTATGGAAGTATCTATGCTTAATGACTGATCGTTATGGGCTTCAAGGGTTTCATTTGAATCTGAAAGTGCTACCCCGTAATTTTTAAAATAAAGGAAGCCTAAATGTTTGTTATGTACACAAGGAATGCTACAATCTTGACAGCCAAAGCAGCTAAGGCGGCGTAAAGCGATGATCTTACTATGATCAGTAGTCCAAACGACTTGATGAACTTGCATCGTACCTTTAAATCCTGGAACATTGGGTGGGAATTCTTTTTCTACGATGTCACTCTCTGTAACTATCGCAAAATGTACATTTTTTATGTTTTTAATTATCAAAGTCGCAAAATCTTCGAACGAACCAACATCTCCACCATATTTCACGAAATTATCAGCAGTCCGTTTAACAACAGCACCAATGCCATCCGGGGCACCTTTGCCATGGCCAGATTCTTGGAAATTCCATGTCACTCTATTAATACTGGGGATAGTGTCTTTCAATTTTGTAATCATATAAAAAATATTCTTATTCCTGTATTGGCTAGACGGCGAATCAGATAAAAAATGTACGGTATTAAACGAAACTAGCTCATAAGCCATTTTTAAAATAGGGCATAAGTGAGCCCATATAGCTCCAGCGTCATGTTTTAGGCAATCACTTATTGTACAAAACGATTTTGTTTTAAAGGTACCCTGTATGTTTTTATAGTAAATAACTCCTGTATGTAAGGATACCTGTTGACGACTTCCTCCGAAGTGGTAGGATTGTATCTCCTGATTGTATTTTAAGCAGTAATTCTCACTAAAATCTATGTGTACAAGTATCTCATCATCTTTCAAATTTTGTTTTAATTGTTTGATAACCTCGTACTGTACTGTAATGTTTAGGTTGTGCTTAAGGAATGGAATTAACATTGACTCTAATTTGTAAATAACATCGCGCGGATAATCTTCAAGTCTTTTTTTTATGGTAACAATTTTAATCTTTTGTATCCCATTCTTCACTGTATATGATTTTTTCTCTGCAATCCATTGATAAAACTTAATTTTTTTGTCATTTTTGAATTCACGATAACTTAAAACTTTACTTACGCATGCTGTGCATGTACGTTCAAGACAGTTTTGCTTTATATCACAACAGAGAGTTTTAATAACGTCTGTACCAGTACTTTCGGTGATGATTTCTGCAGTTTTTAAAGCCTTAATTAAAAGATTTACGTTGGAATGTAGTCTGCACTGACAAGTCTCTCGATCTTTATTAGGAAAAACCACCCAGTAGGGTCTATATTTACAAAATGTTGAATAGCTTATGCTACTTTGCTCCTTCAAGAACTTTTCATGCAAATTTTTTAAATTATCAGTCAGGTACCGCTTCTGTTTTTTCAGGCCTCTGTTTTTTATAAATTCTTTCTTCCCCGCAGCAACTCTACTATTTGTGTCTTCTTCGAAAAAGGAATGAATGTCATTTATCAATGACTGTTTTTTTTCTTTTGTAATTTTTTTCTTTCTTCTAACAAATGGCAACTTATGAAGTAGCTTATATTTCCTCAATCTCTCTTCATTATGAATTATCTGTCCTGCAAAATGTCTCTTTTCCTTTTTAGTCATTGTTTTATATACGTCTTGTACGTTCTGTGATATACTTTCACTAAAAAGCAGTTGTTTTTTAACTTCTTCTTTTTTTTCGGGTCGTATTACCGTTAAAACTTCTTCAATTCTCTTTTCGACACAATCATGTTCTGGTTGACCTATATTAATTTGTTTACGAAAAGCATCTTTTTCCCTCTTTAGTTTATTAATTTCATCTTTTAATTTCTTCACCGTCTTTGAATGAGTATACCGCAAACGTCTTAATATTGCGCTGTTGAACTTAAGTAATCTTACATTTTTAATACTCGGAGTTGAAGACGGTCCCGGTTCAGCAAGCATCAAGGGATCTGAACTAGGAGGGTCTGGGTTAACATTAGTCTTCAATTCACTCTCTGGAGGTAAATTTTCTATTAATATTTTATGTATTTCGTTTTTTTCTTCCTTCCTTTTTAAATACTTTCGAGAATTTTTTCTCCAACGTCTTCTTTGTTCTCGTTGTGCTCTAGGGGTCATTTCTTTGATACTACAAACTTTTTTCTTTTCTTTCCTTGTTAAATATCTTGTTCTCTCGTTTTCTTTATGTATAGAATACAGCTCTGGGTCGTTTTTTATTTTTTTATATCTTTCTCTTTTACGTAGTCTGTCTTTTGCTAATTTTTCTTCTCTAGTTAATTTTTTACTCGTTTTGGCCATTTTGGCACTAAAAAAAGATAAAATAATAATATCGTATAAGGTATAGTCATATAGGCCATAATTATTATAAATGTACGCTTAAAAACTGAAAAGTAACTCGTAGTTTAAAATTAAATGAATATTTTTCAT